CGAATTTCAGCCAATTTTAGCCCAATTACTAATCCAAAATTCACTGCCGCCTTTCCCCCCTTTTAACGCTTCACTGAATTCCCCCTTTTGGCAATTTTCAATTGCCTTTTTTTGCCAATTTTCAATTTGATTCCCAAAAAATTCATGAAATTTTCCTCAAACTTTAATCCTTTTTTAAAGCTTTTGATTTCCACGAGAATCTTTTCCTTGCTCTTCCTCTTTCTCTTTCTCTTCCTCTTCCCATTCCTCTTCCAACTTCTCTTCCAATCCAACCCATTTCCAGACAATGAACAGCGATCGTCGTCCGCTATTGTTGTCGCCGAAAGAGGAGAATCACGAAAACAACGGTGAGTTGCATCGGATTAGAGAAAAACTTCGAAGCGCACCCTTTCTGGCACACTAGATTCTTGATTCTTCATTCAATTCCATTCAATTGAACTCTTTAATCAATTCTTTATCTTTCTTTAGCGCTATTTTCTTGATTTTTCAGTGTTTGAATCTTTAAATCGCTATAAAATCGTCAATTTTCAACCAAACAAGCTAATTCTTTTTGCAATAGATTCTCCATGAAAAATCCTATAAAATAAATATTAGGTTTATCAGGGAAAAATTGAGTTTAGTGGGGTAAAATCGGGGTTGAAGTTGGTGGGAGAGTTGTGCGTTCTCTGTGTGTTCTCTTCATGTAGCTGAAAATATTCAAAAGGAAAGAAGGAAGAAGGGAAAAGGAAGAAGGAAGAAGGAAGAGGGAAGAAGGGAAAAGGAAGAAGGGAAAAAGGAAGAAGGAAGAAGGAAGAAGGAAGAAGGAAAAAGGAAAAAGGAAGAAGGAAAGAAAAAGACAAGAAAAAAGAAGAAAATAATAAAATTATTCAATTTTTCGCATCTGGGATACGGTAGGTCAAAAAAGACAAAAGACAGACAAAAAGACAGACAGTCGGGGTACGGTAGTTTTCTCTTTTTTCTTTTTTCACAATTTATTTTTTCTTCGTCAATTGCGATATTTTTTATTTTTTTAATCGTATTTTTGATTTAACCTTATTTTTTATTTAATCGAGGGCGGAATTCGACTTTTTTTGCGCACCTGAACATTTGCGCGCCTTTTTTTCTCCGGAAATGGCTTTTGAAAGGCCGTAGAGCTTCAAAAATGTTTTCATATAAGGGAATCGTATGCGTAGATCCCGAATTTCGACAAATCAGACCTCGCTGACACGTCAAATTTGGGCTAAAAGACAAAAACTGCGGAAAAGCGTTAAGTTGCGTAGTTTTTGTCTTTTAGCCCAAATTTGACGTGTCAGCGAGGTCTGATTTGTCGAAATTCGGGATCTACGCAAACGATTCCCTTATATGAAAACATTTTTGAAGCTCTACGACCTTTCCTAAGACCTTTTTTAGCAAAAAAAAGGTCGCATTTGTCCCACCCCCTTAAAACACTTTAAACGTTAAACTTTAACTTTAAAACACTTTAAAACAAACTTTAAAACATTATATCGAACATTAAAACACTTTAAACCACTTTAAAACACTTAAAACAGACACTTGTTTAAAAAAAACTGAAGACTTTAAAACACTAGACACTTTAAAACACTTTAAAACTTTAAAACAACATCTAAAAAAAGTACTTTACTAATATCAATATCAACCATCACTTTTTAAATCTTTCCTTTCAAGAGCCAAACCCTTGAATCCATGTCCAAAGATCTTTGCTTAATCAAATCGAAAACTCTTCCTTCACTAAGAAATAATCAAATCCCCGCAACTTCTCGAGACTAAAAGCTGAGCTTAAATGCATTCTGTTAGTCATTTTTTTTAGTCAATCCTTAACACAAAACTGAAGCTCTTCCAATTTTCTTGCGGGAAATTCGGCTTAAGTGCGTTGGTCGAGAAATTTTCTTTCATTTTCCCATATGTTTCTCATTTTCACGACTTTATGCCCCACTTTTTTCAGTTTTCTTTCAGTTTTTCCCGTCTCACAAAGATTCTCTGCTCAATTTTGCTCATTTTATTGTTTATTATTCGACTATTAGTGGGTACTGTAGTCGGTAAAGTTACCGTAATCCCTGACATAACCAGAAAAATCGACCTAATCAATACCAAGTTTTCTATCGATAGACTAAAATCGATTTTTTTAAATTCGATCAATTCTAATTCCTCTGTGACATCCAACTAAGAAGCAGCCAAAGTTTCATTAAAATCTGTTCAATCAAAAAAAAAGTTATGATGGTGGATAGCCTAAACCTTCGTAACTTCTTTTTGAGTGAACAGATTCCAATCAAACTTTTACTATTTCTTAGTTGGATGCCACAGAGGAATTAGAATTGATCAGATTTTTCGAAAATCGATTTTAGCTCTACCGTAATTTTACAGTATTGCCGCGTAGCTCTATGAACTTTTATCTAAATATTTTATCCAAATCTTCTATCCAAATCTTCTACCGTACTCCCCGAATACTACAGTACAATCCAGGGATTACGGTGTGCCAGATGGAGAGCGTTTAAGCGCGTACAAAGAATACAAAGGAATTTGGTTTTGAGGAATTCTGGAATTTTTGAAATCAATTTTTGAGCTGAATTTTTGCGCCTGGGGGTTTTCTGGGTCAGCGGATCGATTGCTAGGGTTTATTTTATTCAATTAACCATGAAATTTCGAGGTTTCTTTGAATAGCTTTGCTTTAAAAAAACTGATTTTTTTTTCAAAAACTTTTCTTCAAAATTCTTGACTCGTATAATCTTCTAAAAGGTTCTAAAAACTCATCACGAATTCCCATTTGTTCTATAATCTCTTGAAAAGGCAATGGGAAGTCAATGGGAATAAGAAAAAAGCAGAAAAAAGGTCATTTCTCAGATTGAATCCAAAAAAAAGTATTTAGCTTTTTTGGCAGAAAATTTCAGAAAATTTTTGGTTTGATGATTTTATTCTTTTACTTTTCCTAGTGATGGTATTATTTTGTTTTTAGAGACTGGAATGGCAGTGGAATGGCCGTGCGCTGCTTGTGCTACTTTACTCGGGATCGCGCATTTATCAATGGGTTTAGGGTTCGTGTTTTTTTGGATTTCTAAACGGATTTCTAAACTATTACCCTATTTTCTCTAATAGTCGTGCAGCGTTGCCTAAATTCCTCGAAATCTCGAAATGCGCTTGTTAAAAGCTATTGATGTGGGGTCGGAAAAAAAAAGGGCAAGTTTAAGAAAAAATGAAAAATTTGAGCATAGTGACGCCGGGAAAATCGATGGACAGACGAGTTATCGAGAGCCCCCTCGGCTCCCTATCTGTAAACCCCCGATGCCAGAAAGTGCGCGATTATGTGCATGCACAGAGAACACCCAGCCAGTTTTTATTGAGAGCCCCTCGGCTCCCTATCTGTAAACCCCCGATGCCAGAAAGTGCGCGATTATGTGCGTGCACAGAGAACAGCCGGCCACTTTTTTATTTAGAGCCAACTCCCTATGAGTAAACCCCTTATGCCAGAAAGTGCGCGATTGTGCGCACAGAGAACACCGCAAGATCACCTCGTGATCTCTAATAGTAGTGCAGCGTTGCCTAAATTCCTCGAAATCTCGAGAACCGCTTATCAGAACCTATCGATGTGGGGTCGGAAAATGTAGCTGACAATGAGATCTAATCGGGGATTAGACTCTTGAGCTTCTGCAAAAGCTTGAAAACCGTAAAATCGTCACCAACTCGGCTCGCTGGGGTGCACTATTTTTTCAAAAAAAAAAGCTAGTATTTGTAATTTCCCAAAAAAAACCAAACCCTACTCCAAATCAAAAATTGCAGTCTACTAGCGTTCGACGTGGTCACAAACGAGACATCAGAGACAGCTTTTGCCGCCACCGCCGCACTCGCCTACATCATTTGTTCAGTGCTCTCATTTATTGCGGCCAGGTTTGTTATCGTGAAGGCTGTAGCCAGCTACAGTATGCCATAGTATCTCCTACCGTTTCCAGACGTCTCGATCGTTGCGCTCAATTGTTACTCTTCGCTTTCGCCGCTTTCTCAGCGCTCACCTCATTGTCAATCTTTCTCGAAGCAGCCGTCGTCTTGAACAGGTTTTCGAATCGATTTGGAAACAAAGATTTGCATTTAAAGCTGCTTAAGGGATTACTATAGCTGCTGTAGCCGTTACAGGATACTGTAGCGATCCTATAGACATTACAGGATACTGTAGCGATCCTATAGACATTACAGGATACTGTAGCGATCCTATAGACATTACAGGATACTGTAGCAACCCTGTAACCGTTACAGGATACTGTAGTGATCCTTTATCAGCTGTTAAACCCTGAAGTCCTCTAGGAGAGTACTGTAGGGTTGTTAGACTGCTGCTTTCCACTCAAGATTCCCTCTAGATTATGCGGTCAACGAGCGTGCACAGAGGGAAGAGATCTCGTGCACTCGACACTCATTTGCATCGCTCTCACCGAGTGTCAGTTTTCACGCTTTCTCCTTTCTAGTAAACTAAGGTATTGAAAAATTGGGAATAAAAAAACCGGCTTTCAGTTGTGATCAGCTCAATCTCGATGATCGTCTGCTATCGATCTCTGCGCAACGCGTTCGGCGTAAACACGGTTGCCTCTCCGTACAGGTTCAAGCAACACTTGTCCCTAGTGTCACTCTTAAAACCCGACTTTTCAGCACTCTAATCGTCGGCGATTACACGACACTCGAACGCCAGCCAAGACCCATGAGGAACACAAGGGCAAAAAGTCTGCTGTAACTGTAAAACCCACCCACAATCACGAACCTCCTTTTCTCCTTTGTTGCTGGTCTTCTTTAATCGGGTCTCTTTCTTTGGGCTTATCCTTTTTTCAAGATAAAAACTTACAAGATAAAATTATTTTGTCTACACAATTTCATTTATTTATTACACCGGTTCAAACCATTGTCAAAACAGAACTTTTAACACCATTAAATAAAAAATACACGGATAAAAACAATCATTAAAACAGAAATTTTAACATTATTAGGCAAACACAATAAATATAACAAATCTCTTCACAGATTTACAAATGATGAGGAGGCAAAAGGTGAGTTGGCGGAGGACCGTACATTGTAGGCATTGGTGGTGGAGCGAACATCTAAAAATTTCACAATACTTGATGTAAATATGAAATTGTCAAACAATGATAGCCTGATATTCTAAAGACACTGATATTATGACATAAAGAGCTTTAAAGTCTACTTTAACACTTTTGCGACGACAGCATTTTGGGTGTACAGTCCAGTCGCCTAGTTGTTAACTGTTTTACTGGTAAATTTCGTGAAAATCCAATTTCAAATTCAAATTTCAAAACCAAACTCTTATAGCTCATTCAATAGCCCTGACTCTTCTTTTGAAAGCTAGTACAAAGTTACCGATAACTTTCTGCGAAATAAACCGTCCTTAAAAAATTGAGTTAACACCGAAAATAATCGTCCACCGATGGGTCATACTAATGACGATTATTTCAACGACAATACGACCAATGGGTCGTCTCGTCGTGAATGTTTTAAAAACGAAATTTTACCGGTGGTGGCGTCATTGATGTGTAGATGAGATGCGTGAGTTGAGCAAATTGACGAATCCACGTGCGCTGATTGAACACACCAAAACCATGAGTGATCTAAAACAGAACAAGTTTTACTATTGAAACTGTCAGTTAACATTTTTAACAAAATTTGGAATTTCAATAAAAATTACAAAAAAACTTACAAGACTGTAGTGATTAAAAGCGAGTTGAAGTGTCTCATCGTGGAACGGCGGCGGATTGTGATCACCGATAGGGCATTCGATGCGGAAAATCACATCGCCCATTTCCCGAAGAATGCGACTAAAATAAAGTATTAAAATTAAGTTAAAAGACTCAACGTTTTTAGCTCCTCCTCATACTTTAGTAAGCTATTCCTTATTTCTATCATATAATTCTTATTAAAAATCAATACTTTGCTCCAAGCAAATCGCGTCGTCGAGTCTCCACCTCATGATGAGTGCCTTGTGACAACTTGTTGCGCAAATGCTCAGCCAGCGTGTTGATCGGATAGGAAGAAGCGGTGATTTTGTCCAAATCCCTTGCCAAGTGGGTTGCCTCACCTAAAAATAGTAATGATATCTCAATTCAATTAATAAAAAACAAAATCTTAGATCTGAATTGTTACTTCTCGTTATCATCAAATCACAATAAGAAATATCCAAATTTAATATGAGTAAGCAATTATTACCTTCAAGAAGAGCCGTGAGGGCGGTGGTGACTCCTTGTTTACGTCTTCCAACTGGCAATTCGATCCCGTGAGCCGCCAATTCTTCTCGCATTCCTTTGCCGTTATTTGCTGTCTTGGCCCTAAAACATAATTACTGAGTTATAATTGACGATTTGGTTCAAAAAGTTTTCTTTGGTTAGTTCCAAAGGTAACACTTACTTTCGAAGCATTGCAGCCAAAATGCTACTGTTGAGACACTCGGGTTGACCAATTCGACGTCGAATCTCATCAAGGGTAACCTAGAAATAATTCTTGTAAAAGCTAAACACATAAATAATTTAAAAGGAGAAAAAACGCACATCAAATTTTCCACCAACACCCATCAATGAAAGTCGTCCGGTCACTTGCATGTAAACGTTGCTCTTGTCGATGGTACCATTATTCTTATCATCCATGTCCTCCTCGTCGTACCCCTCGGAATCAGTCTCCTCTGCGTCAGAAACATTCTAAAGGGAAAATATTCAAAAAGTCGTACTAATAATTTAAAAAACTAGACATTAAGTTCTTTCAGGATTGTCTTAAATTCAAATTAGGGTAGTTTCAATTAAAAAACAAACCCCGGAGTCGGTACACGGATGGGAAGTAGATGGACCACCGTGAAGCAATTCGTTTTTCGGGCGGAAAATCATAGGAGCATGAGTTTCCTGAGGGAAAGGGCATAAAAAACTCTAAAAAAAAAAATGAGGTACCTGCATTTGATGCATCGAATAGTCTGCCTCAATGGGCGAATAGTTGAATTGAGGTTGAATAAAAGCCTGAATAAATTCTATTTTAACAGAAAGACTAAATAACAAACGACCTTCCATTATTCTAAAAGCAAAAAACTCACTCTCATCACGCTCATCGTCGGATCATTAATTGGGGTGCTGAACAATGGGTTGTTCTGAAAAAAGCAATAAAATTATTGTAAGAATGTAAAATGCAAAACAATTTATGGGAAAGTAAATAGCCTAGTAACAGTCAGTATGTTATTGGGGTTATCAGTAAATAACCATACTGATTTTTGTTTCAATCCCCCGCCATTTTACGCTAAGAATAAATTGGCAGTTCTGTAGGATTTCATATCTCAAAGATTTACCAAGAAATTGTCTTCTACAATAAACCTATTTGCTTTTTTTGCTCGGCTAAATTTCCCTTTGAGAAAGTTTTAAAATTTTGAGTTTATACCCTCTATACGTGGTCTAAATTTTCAGCACAGAACAAAAAAGATGCGCTAAAGATTCTAGAAAAGAATTGAGCTGAAAACTTTTCCTTAGCCCGTGTCAAAGCCCTAATTTTATACTTTCTGACTATCATTTATTCAGTTCACTAAAGCGATTTCTCGCAAGGAAAACCTTTGATAAATCGGCGGGCGCCGAAAAAGGGGTGCGTGATTAATTTGCCTCGAACAAGCCCAAAAGTTCTTTAACGATGATATCCCGGGCCTCAAAAGAAAATTGTCGATGCTCATAAATGATAATAGAATAAACATTTTAGATTGAAGTACTTTTGTGGCTTTTCTTTAATCTAAATCCTATTTACGAAAGAAAATCCGGTTATTTACAGACATCCTTACTATTGCAAACTTTAATTAATTTGAGTTTACTTCTCGGCAAATAAGAAAAATGTCAACTTACATAATAATGTTCCATATGTTCTGGGAGAGCCGGCGTTTTCGGGAGTTTCATCTCAGGGTGATCCTCATCCTGATCGTTATCGTGGGCACGTTTCGGCATCTAAAAAGAATACATAATCTTTCGTAACAGCGATCAGAATGCAAATAAAGTGAAAGTTTTCAAGTACTAAAGTCTAATATTCCATTTCCAAAAAATAAACCTAATCTACCAGATTGAAAATGGCAAAATAGTTGCTAGACGCCCAGATCAGAGGTGCAGATGTGAGTGAGAGAGCGCAGAAAGTGACATAATTTCCCCGAGGGTTTAATGAAATCAATTTTATCACAAGAAATAACCCCCGCGGGCACATTTCCCACAAAAGGTTCGGACAATTGCAAGCAGACCAAGCAATTGCCCGGGACAGAGTTCAAATCTCGGAAAAAAGAAAGCGATTCCTCTTACATGCCTCTAGCCTCCCCCGGTATAACATCAAAATCCAATGCCATTTTATCATAAAATTAGAGAGATCAAATATTTATTTATAGAACCTTATAAATAACAACCTACTCATTGTCAGAAATTGACAAGAAAGTATACAATCTAAACACCGTCAAAGATCACAACATCTTGACATGAAAACAAAAGTGAAAGCCTAAAAAGCAAATGCAAAATAAATGCACGGTGCAAGAAACTTTAAAAATGTGTTTCGTCGACCATGAATGTTGGTTGTGTAGAGACTTGTGAGGCATGTTGAGTGGCCGCCTCGTGGGACATGAAGAATTTCCGGAACTAAACCAAAGAAATAGACCAGAAAAGGGATAGATTTTGATAAAAATACAACTAGCGCAATCTAAAAATATTTAATTTTTATTACTTGAACAACTGACTATTTTATCGCGTTTTGTAGGTGGCGGCTGCGGACTTCCAGGTATACTTTCTACATCGGATTGTGGTTGCTTTTCTGCCACGAGTTCTAAAACCAAAATTGGAAAGAGTCTTCAAAATACTGCTAACCATCCATGCCCATTCTCTCGTGGTTCTGGGCCGATTGCGAGAAATCGTTATCTAAGTAAACTTTTTACTTTTAATTCAAAATAGTTACCATTTGCGGTAGAATTCGTTCGATGGGTAAACGGAGGAGTGGGTGGTAATCCTAGACATCCATTATTATTACCAAAAGCTAAAATTTACCTGGATCATCATCGTTTACACCATCACAATCTCGCATTGGCTCATCGTTTTCTAAATTAAGGCATAAATTTCTTAAACCGTCCATTACCATTCATTAAGCCTTCGTCATTTTGTTCCATTACAGCTTGCATTCTAAAGTAGAAAGATTATTGTGTTTGCTCACAACAAAATTACCTATTACTGCTTTGTGGCACATTATTCTCGTCCTCGTCAAAACTGTCGTGTTCAAGCTGTTGCTAGAATTAAGCGTTAAACGAGAGCAAGGTGACCCAATCACATACTTGAGAGCCATTTAGACCACTAGCTTGCTGTGACCCGATTCCATTGTTCCTAAAAAGTTTCGTTAGGCAACAAGCTTTAAAACTCACTGAGAAGATCTTGCGGAACTTCTTTCAACATTCGTCGTGTCACAGCCAGTGTAATCCATTTCTATCGTCGATAAATGAAACTCCGACGCATAAGTGAGATCTCCCTCAATTGCAATGATTATCGGTCTAAAAGTAGAAGATAAAGTAGTTGATAAAATGTAAAGCTCACTTTGATGGTTGATCAAAATAGAGACTAACAGTGGCTGAGTGTTGCGATGCGAATTGAATAATGGCCTACAAGAAATTATATGCAAAATAGAGCGTGATTACCTTGAACTCTTTTGCGCTAAAAGCAATTTCCGTTTCCCTTCGAACATTGAGTTTTAAAAACTGATCTCTCAACATCGTAGCTTCTGACTTGATTGCTCGTTTCTTCTCTGAATAAAATAATCTCTAATTTCTCTAGTACGAAACAAACCTGCTAATTGTAACATGAAGTTTTTGATGCATATTCGATCGCGTTTAGCATGGATTATCAATTCATCGATTTTACTTTGGACTTGATCGATCAATGGTAACAAAGTCCTAAATACAATGATAACTTGTAATAAAAAGAGTACCTCACTCCGCTGGACAAACGGCCAGATTTGCGAGCTTTTGTTTGTCTGTCATCGCTTTCTTGATAGATTTTCGCTCCATAAAGTTTAACTGAAAGAGCCGACACACCTCTGTAAGTTTAAGAGTTAACTGTTGATAAAGCAATCTCACCGTGCACTAATTGCATTTCCATTCGAAAGAAGTCTTTCACTGGATCGATCCGGAAGTTGCACGCCAAAAAGTTCCGATCGGAAAAATTTGCCGATTTGAAGGTAGAAAGAGCTGCCTAAATAAAAGACGATTTAAACAAGAAAATTCGAATTATAACCTTCATTGACAGTCTGCAAGTATTGTCCTTGGTTAAATCGATCGAGTTGAGTTCTACCTCCGAGAAGAAATGGGTGTTGAACAAAAAGACGGCATATGCTGTTCCCGTTCGGTTGAATGCACGGACCATTAACTGCAGAAGTAAAAATTAGGTTAGTGACATTTGAAAGTTGATTTAGCGTGCACACTTACTTATATACTTAGAACAAAAGATTTAGGCTTAAGACACCACAAAATTTCGTTTAAAAACACCAAAATTTGAACAAAATCTGCAAACCCACCCCTTGTTCAGTCGGTTCCAGGTAGAGAATCTCCCCAGAGTTTCGCCAAAGCACCAATTGCCTTTGTAAAAACTAAAAACAAACAATTTCAAGTAAAAACAATTGAAAAACGTTTGAAATTCGATGCCTGTAGAACAAATTTGGCTCCATCTGACGATTCATCATCCAGTTCTATCGAGAGAGTGTCCCCCGGCATCTAAAATTCAAAAATGATGAGCAGAAAGTAAAACGCAACAATTTGATGCAAAAAAAAAACGAGAAGCTCATGTAAATCTTGCCCTTTACATAATAAAAAGTATAGATTTCGAGAGAATTTTCAGTTTTTAGTCCTTTTCTCAAAAACTACATGGTTCTGGGAGTTGAAAATACCATTTGATAGCAAACTTCTTTGCGCATCTTTTGAAGTATAAGCCGTTGTGAGTGGTTTATTGGGTGACGAGAAAATTTAAAAGTGTAATAAGGAGAGTACTCCCCTAAAGTTTTCTCCTCTGATCTACCTGTGTACAATTGAATATTCTGGAATTTTTATAAAAAACGAATATGGCAAATAAAAGCGGTAAAACAAGAATTAAATGCGCATATTTCGCAAAAAAAAGTAATTAAAAATAGTAAAGGAAGTCAAGATATGGGGGTAAAAAAAGGACACTTTCGAAAAGTGTCCTTTTTTTCTTCTTATCTACTTCTTATCTCGGCCACATTTGGATCTTTTGAATTACCTTTTTCGTAAAATATCCGCATTCAATTTTAGTTTTACTGTTTTTAATTGGAGAATGGATTGCTCAGGGGAATCCAAGAATATTTCAACCGAGATCTAGGGGGTGGCTTTAGGGGGAGTACTCTCCTCCTTTACATCTTGTAGATTTTCTCGCCACTCAATAAACCACTCGCAATGGCTTATACTTCAAAAGATGCGCAAAAAAAACTTACTAACGAATGGTATTTTGAAATCCCAGAACTATCTACTAGTTTTTGAGAAAAGGACTTAAAACTGAAATTCAGAGGGAGACACTCGAAAACCATAAAACGAAACAAAAAATAGGAAAAGATCACAATAAAAATCAAAAAAATATTCAATCAAATAATTGAATATCAATTTTTAGAGAGCAATCTGTCAGCCAATTTGACAAATTGTCAGACAAATATAGGAAAGTGGCACTCGCTTATATAAAGAAATAATCGAAAAAGTATTCAATTAACGGACTGAATATCAATTTTTACTAACCAAATTTAATTTGAGCTATATAAAGGAAAGGAGAAATAATTGAGCGTGTACGGGAGATTTATATAGTCACTAAATATTCCAAAGAGATATTCAATTAATTAGAGAATATTAATTTTTAGTCAAATTTACGCGGTATATAACGAAAAAGTGAACATTTTCGCCACAAAATTATTGTTTCGCCCAATTTCTAGCAAACTTGTTGCTTTTTGTGTTGTACGTAAGTTTTTTGTTCGAACTACTTTTTACTTCTTTTACTTCCAACTAAACATTCTTAGAAAACTGCATAGACACGCTTAAACAAGTCCTCTTAAAACTTAGTGAATATCATGGCCTAATCGATTGCACAACATTGCCCGATTGCCGCCAATAGTGCATCGCTTTTGGGCGTAAAAGTCGGAAAAGTCTTGGGAAAAAAACCTTCGTCGTTTCTTAATCAACCAGATTCGACCGTTTTTAAGCGTTTACACAAAAAATTCTTATTTTTTAGCATTAATGCATTAGATTTTCTTTATTGCCTTGTATAATTTAAAGATTTTGCACTCGTAACCGTCAATTTTAGCTTCACGATCGTTTTGCGATGGAAAGTGGTGGGCAATCGGTCGAAAACAGCGCAGAACAGAATCATCTTGAACGATTGGGTAAATTTTTTTATTAAAATCATGCAAGCAATTGGATCTCAAACCTTTTACAAAGTTTGGATTTAGGTTTTCGTTTCAACACAAACGCGACACCATTTATTCCGAAATCGCAGCCGGAAGAGGAACGCCATCAAGGGATTAATTCGACGGATCGGAAAGCTGATCGCCCAACGAGACAGCCCGAGGACACTCGTCAAGAAATCTCACAGAATGCTCAAGGACGCCTCAGAGAAGGTTAATTTTGTTTTAAGACATAGGGAGCTTAAGCATTATCTTTTCAAAATTGCATTTTTTAGGTAATGCAAATCTGCAAACCCGTCGAGATGTTCTTGCACAGTCAACTCGCCCAGTGAATCGTCAAATACAGGAGCAACCTAATGCAGGTAAATTCGCAATTGGTTTTGATTTTTTTTTTGTTTGCTTTAGAAAATCTTCCGCCACGCAAGCAAAGGCAACGCCATCCTGTGACCAAACCACCGCCGGCTAGCAGCAGCAATCAACGTAGTGACTTGCAACCACCATCAACTGAAGGTTTGCATACGATTAGTTTTTGCTTATATTATTTGTTTCAAGGAATCTCGAACAATGTGGAACCAAAGAAGAGGAACAGGCCAAAGAAAAAAGACAAACCCAACAACAATACAGGAATTCAAGAACAAAGCTCAGAAGGTATTAACTGATCGTTAATTTTTAACTAAGTCTTGTTAAGGCACAACTACTCACAACGCGGCACTTCCAAATCGACAGACGCCAAGAACAAACCCTCGGGGTGGACGAGGAAAAGCAACTCCAGGAAGTTATGGGCGACAAAATGACCATGGAATGAATTCGAGTAGGACGAGTTTTGAGGACGCTTCTCTCCCAAAAAGTTCAGGTTAGCTTTGTTTTGTGATTTAATATTTTGAGATTAGATTCTGGCAATCGTCGCCAGCTGCCAAATGCACGGGGAAAGCCAGCAATTCCGAATCGTGGTCATCCAAATCAAAGCAACGGAGGAGTGGACAGACGACGCCGTCGCAGTGACAATTTTGGTCCCGATGTTTCACTACGTGGTACTATAGTATTCATCAACAAGTTTAAAGCTAAATGTTTAGATCGATTGACTCTTCAATTGGAGCGCGATGGATATGAGTGCACTATCTGCAGTAATATCATTCGGACCCATCATGTAAGAGTTTCTAAATTTCTTAAACGTTTTCAATTTAGCGTATTTGGTCTTGCAATCAATGTTATCACCTGCTTCATTTGGCATGTGCGAAAAGGTGGGCCTCGACTGATGGAGAAGAACGGCCAGATATTTCTTGGAGATGCCCAACATGTAACTCGATGAATCAACGTTTCCCAGATACTTATTTCTGTTTCTGTGGAAAAACGAAAGATCCACCTGCAAATCGGTTTGATAACATTGAACTCCAAAATATTCTTTATAAATTCAGTGACGAGCTTCCTCATTCGTGCGGTGGAACTTGTGGCAAAAATCGTGGACCTACCTGTACTCATCCTTGCACTGACGTCTGTCATCCTGGTCCTTGTTCAGAGTGTCCGGTAATTCTTAAACATACCGTCAATTTGAAATGAATCATTTAGGTACAAGTGACAAGAAAGTGTGCTTGTGGACTTACTGAAATGGCTGTCAGATGTGGGACGGCTTTACAAAGAAAGGTAATGAGTTGTTTGTTTTGTTAAATTATATTAAATTTAGTGCGACACGGTTTGCAACAAGCAGCTGAATTGTGGGATTCACGTTTGTCAGAGTATCTGCCACGCAGGAGCCTGTGAACCATGCCGTGTTGGAGTAGTAACAAGTACTTTGCTTAGTTTTTTGACATACATCCGGAACTTTTAGGCTGTCATTGTGGCGGCAAAGAGGAGGAACAATTTTGCGGTCGGGAAGCTATTTTCTCGTGCAATAACAAATGTAAAGGAGTTTATGATTGTGGTGTTCATAACTGCAAGCGACTGTAAGTTTTTTTAAAATTTTGTTTTGCATATCCTTGTAATTCAGCTGCCATTCGAAAGTAGCTGGTTCTCCAAATGGTTGTGGATCGTGCCCTGACAGCCCAGAAAGGATCATCAACTGTTCATGTGGAAAAACGTCAATCAAATCGCTTTTAAAGGTTGGAAATACAAAGTTGCAAAATTTTGAAACATTTATATAGGGTGGTCAACGTGCAACCTGCTCAGATCCGATTCCAACATGTAAAGCTGTATGTGGGAAAATTTTGCATTGTCAATCAAAAGGTGGTATTAATGAAAGCAAAATTAAATGAATAATTTTTAGGAGTTCACCATCGCTGTCAATCCCTTTGCCATAATGGGGAATGTCCACCCTGTTCGTTGAAAACTGAGCTAAACTGCAAATGCCAACGATCTACAAAGAGTGTCCCATGCAAGGAGTTTATGCCAGATGGTCAGTAAATTTTCCCTTTCAATAAAAATCTGTTTAGAAGTTTTCGAATGTGATCGCGTGTGTAAGAAAGTGAAATCGTGTGGATTGCATAAGTGCCAAAAGAAATGTTGCCAAGAGGATCAGCATATTTGTATGCAGGTGGGAATTTTAATCACTAGTCTCACTAGTTAGGAATGTGTTCATTTAGATATGTGACAAAATGCTAAACTGCGGTAAGCACCGATGTGAACGTTTGTGCCATCCCGGTCAATGTTCTCCTTGTACACATGCAAGTATAGTTAAACTGTTTATACCTTTGTTAACATTTGCTACAGGTTTTGATGAAGAGTTTTGTTTGTGTCGGCGAACCGTGTACTATCCACCTATCAAATGTGGAGATCAACTGGCAGAGTGCACTTATCCGTGTCGAAGGTTAATTTATTTGTTTTTGATAAAAACGGTCAAAATGTTTAGGGAACATGCTTGTAACCACGAAGTTACGCACAATTGTCATCGAGAAGAAAATTGCCCACCTTGTATGGTCTTGACAAGTAAAATGTGTGCTGGGGGGCATGAGGTAAACCTGTCCAAATAATGTTTTTATCTATTCATCAATTTTTAGACGAGAAAGAATATTCCCTGTCATCTTGAGACAATTTCTTGTGGGCGCCCTTGTGGTAAAGCTCTACGATGTGGAATTCATGAATGTGATAAGCGATGTCACCGTGGTGAATGCGAAAAGGATGATGAAATTGTGATTAAGATTTATGGATGTTTTATAAAGCTTGTTTAGTGTAAAAGGCCGTGCCCACAACCTCGCTCGGATTGTGAACACAAATGCGGATTGCCTTGCCATAGAAATTCTCAGTGTCCTGCATCGGATTGCAAGTAAGCACTGATTCTTTTGTTACTGTTTAAATAAAAAATGGGAACAGAATGTTTTATCAATATTTTTAGAGAAAAGATGACCGTTTTGTGTGAATGTGGACGAAGGAAAGAAGCTCTTCGTTGTGTTGATGTGTTGAAAAATGTGGAAAGACTGCGAGCGATTCGTGCCGAGGAGGAAGAAAATCGCAACGCAACGGCTGCTGGACCAATTAAAATTCTTCGTCGATCAGCAAGTATGGATCGTCTTAACAGGTGGTTTGCTGGTTCTTCCTTGTTTATATTATTTACCTAATTTATTTGAAAAATTTTTAATTTAGTTTGCCTTGTGATAGTGAATGCAATCGTGTAGCCCGAATCAAATCGATGGCTGAAGCTCTTGACATTCAGGTTGATGACAATGGAGACCAACTTCAGGTACCTAATATCTTTAAATGCTTGGAAGTGCATTTTTCCCTTTAGTGTGCTCCAATTACATATTCGGAGTACTTGCGCTACGTGATGAAAAATCAAGCGGACTTTCTGATGTTGATCGAGAAAGCTTTTGTGGATCTAGTTCGTCGAGTGAATGAAGTAGTGGTTAACGTATATTTTTATGATAATGATTATTAAGGATTTGGGCGACAATGGTGTATGTCACAACTTCAAGCCTATGCGAATTGAGGCTCGTCGGGCAGTGCACGAGTATGCTGTGTACTTTGGATTAAGTAAGTATTTTCATAAACTTTAGATTTCAATATAATTTTAGGCAGTGAGAGTGTGGACTCTGGCGCGCAAAGAAGTGTTGTTGTTACTGGAAAGAAGTACGTTTAGAGAGTTTACCACTCGTAACAAAAAATTTCTAGGTGCTCTGCACGTATTCCTACAGTAACTTTATCAGCTTACGCGGCTCGATTTCCAAAGAAGCTTCTCCAAACGGGCCCAATCAACATTAGCAGGTTTAATAAGCGTAAAAGTTTTTCTAAACCACTTTATTTTTAGTGAATGTGTTAACGCTATGATCAATGTCAAAGCGCCAACATTGACTTCGGAAGAACCTCAGATGAAGCCGGTAGCGATAAATTTTTAAAACCATCAAACAAATAAGTTTTTTGCAGCTTGAAACAAAATTGAAAGCTGTCCGCCGTCGCCCACCTCCAACTTTGCAAACGACGGTGGTGCCGATCTCAATTGCTAATGCATTTTCGGCATTGGCCGAAGAAGACGAAGAGCAGCACGAGAAAAAGTATTTTCTATTATTTAAGTATAACTATTTAAATCTTCAGAACTTCAACGTTCGATCCATTTGCCGATGAGCCAATTGCGAAGTCACACGAAAGTGAAAAGGGGGCTTTTACACCGGAATCATCTCTGGTTTGCACCGAATCTTTTGGGTAATAGATTTTAAAGTTTAACTTTTCTAATCAAGCTTTAGTGCTCCAAATGCTCCCGATTCTTGGGAAGATGGTGAACAAGAAGTGTCCTCAGATGTTGAACAAAAAGTGCCTCCAGATGCTTCACTAGAGTAGATTTTGTAGGCCTAGGGTTTTTGTTTTTTCTTTGTATATTTGTGTATGGTTTTTGAAAGTTGGCTGTTCATTTGTTAATTGGCAACATTTTTTGTGATTCTTTATTGATCGGGTACAAAGTTGTTATAAAAAAATTTTGCCAATGAGGAAGATTTTTTAGACAAAACACTTCGTATGCACTTTGGACTGGAGCCGATTTATCCGCCCATTCATCGCTTTCACGTGCTAGTGAGGGCACTTTGAACCGGAAGGAAAACGACATGATAAAAGTGGATGTCATGAGGAATGGCGCTCGAAATCTTGTCTCTACATCTGATACAAGAATATGCAATTTAAAGATGGACTTCAGATTTCTAATTCGAGAGCTAAATTGATCACGTGGAAGATGCATCTCTTGTAGTCGTTATCGTGATCCCTATCGTGAGAATATCTAAACTTCTTGGAGGTCAAGTATCTTTTAATATTTCTATTTCTCGTGCTCTGTTCGCACTCATTTTTTCAATTGATCCCTTGTCCGGCAACAATGAGAGTTCTCCAATTTCCCCCCTCAAAAATCACGTGTGAAACGGCCGCACCCACACACAAAAAAAAAGCACCTATCAAATCGTTTTCCTATCGGCTATTTATCAATCTTTTTTTGGTTTTTACCCCAATTCTTTTTTTTTTCTTCGAACCGTCTCCTAACGGGAAATAAGATTTATTGAAAAGAGAAAAGGAGAAACGTCTCGATTATTTATCCAAAAATCACCATCAATCAACTTTTTTCAGAGTGTTCAACGCCGCTTTAAGCAACGATGAGTCTCTTTGAGCTTCTCTTCTCTGAGAGAAGAAAAATGAACGGTGTTTGCAAAGTTGTGAAATTTTTGAAAGTCGATGCCAAAAAAAAAAAACGATTTCTGAGACACTTCACGAAATCTATAGCCTTTAAATCGACATAGAATCGTCAATTTACAACGAATCAAGCGAATTCTTTTTTCAATAGATTCTCCATGAAAAATCCTATAAAATAAATATTAGGTTTATCAGGGAAAAGTTGAGTTTTGTGGGGTAAAATCGGGGTTGAAGTTGGTGGGACACTTTGTGCGTTCTCTGTGCGTTCTCTTCATGTAGCTCGTAAGAAAAAACGGGGTCTGGCACACGGCCCCAGGTAGAAGCAACCAAAAAGCCCCCGCGCGCCTCGGTTTAATTACCCAAGTTTGTCGCGTAGGTTGGGCCCCCGCCCGCCCCTCCCGCCTGTGTCGTTCTTTTCATGTCGCCCGTGGGGAAAAACGGTGTCTGGCACACGGCCCTAGGTAAAGGTCGTGGGAAACCGATTCACTCGGTTTAATTACCCAAGTTTGTCCACCAAAATATGGTTTGACCTTGGTGGACGTCTCCCCTGTGCGTTCTTTTCATGTCGCTCGTGGGAAAAAACGTTGTCTGGCACACGGCCTAGGGTAAAGGCCATCGGAAACCCCACCAAGCTGGTTCAATTACCCAAGTTTGTTCGACCGAAATAGGGTTTGAGCTTGGTGGCCATTTCGCCTGTGTGTTCTTTTCGTGTCGCACATGGGGAAAAACGGTGTCTGGCACACGGCCTATGGTAAAGGCCGTCGGGAAGCCGCCATCCATCGGTTTAATTACCCAAGTTTTAATTACCCAATTAATTTCGAGATGCCATTTTTTCTGCATAAAAGAACGCACAGAACTTGTCCCACTTTGTTTCTTTCTCTTTTTCTCTCGTTTTTAGACTTTTGAATATAGCTAAAAAGAGCTTTAGCCGACTAATTTCAAATTTCGTCAGATTTCTCAGTTATTTTCAAATCCTCAGAAACGAATTTGTTTTGAAGTAAACCTAAAGAAACAAAGCGAAATCAGGCCATATCTGCAAATCTTGAAAACTCTTCAAAAAGCGTTGATTGATAGCTAAAAAAGGGAGATTTCCCCTTTTCGAACCACGTGGTTTAACGAAAAATCGAACAAAAACTGAAACATTTCGTTGCTTTTTGACAAAAATTCGCCTGAAAAGAGTTTCTTAATATTTTTCGTTGCAAGAGAATTGCAGTCGTTAGGGGGAAAGGGGAAGGGAAAGGGGTTCGTTGGGGTTTGCTAGCTGATAATCAAGAGCTCAAGCTCTAGCTCTAGCTCTAGCTCTAGCTCTAGCTCTAGCTCTAGCTCTAGCTCTAGCTCTAGCTCAGGCTCCAGCTCTAGCTCTAGCTCAGGCTCCAGCTCTAGCTCAAGCTCCAGCTCTAGCTCAAGAAAGCTAAAACCCAAAAATGTATGCTCGATCTTTCTCCTCAAAGCTAAAGCTAACTTTTGTTGGCGCTGGGTTTCAGCGATAGTCGAGTGTCGAGTGTAAAGAGTGTTCTTTAGTCCTAGTCCTAGTCACAAGGCGGGTGTGTTCTCCCGAAAATTTTGAAGAGAAAAAAAACGATCAATGACAGGGCAGCTCTTTTTTCTCTCTCTCGCCCAATGGTCAGCCGTTTTTTTTGGAGTTCATCCAAATGGGTTCAATTCTTTTAATTCTCCTCCAACTGTTGCTCGTTTTTCTCGTCTCTTTCCGGTTTTAATTAATTCCCGATTTCAGACTCTCAGACTCAACTTTTTTGAGGTTTTTTAGACTCCAGAACTTTGTCCAGGTTATTTTGAGATTTTGAGTTAAATTTCTTCGTAGTCTACAGTCTACAGTCTACAGCCTACAGTAATCCCTAAAGTCGTTTACTAGTGGCTACAGTGATCCCTAGCAGTAGGCGAGGTTGAATTTGGATTTGATATGACTCAATTCGATCGAGCCCTCGGGTGGCACCGGGAAACAGTGGCGGGAAACAGTACCAGCAGACGAGGTTGAATTTGGATCTGATCTGAGCCTGAGCATAGCAGCGGAAGAGCGGCCGACGAGCAGCCGACGAGGTTGAACTCGGATTTAATATGATTCAATTCGGATCTGATTTGAGCCTGAGCCTAAGCCTGAGCATACAAGCGAAGCGGCGGAAATAGAAGCGCGGAAGACGAGCAGCAGACGAGGTCGAATCTGGATTTGAGCCTGAGCTCAAGCAAAGGAGCAGACGAGGCAGCGGATGGGTAGCGGATGGGCAGCGGATGGGCAGCGGATGGGCAGCGGATGGGCAGCGGACGAGTGGACAGAGAAGTTTGGGAAGGCCGAGGAGGCTGGGTATCTGTAAACGCCCTGTGCCAGAAAGTGCGCGATTGTGCGCGAGCACAAAGAACACCGAGTGTTTCGTTTCTTGACTTCAATTTTTGATCGATTCTCAGGAATAACGTTCCAGCAACGATAAGGATTCGATTTTGATCGATTTTGATGAGTGCAACGAGTTCTTTTCCGGGAAAAAGATGAGCAATTTGAGTGGTGAATTAAGGATTTTCAAAGAGAAACCTTTCCGAGTGCGTTCATTTCTCGATTCTCTCATCGATACTTTTCATGCGCTGTTTTTCGATGTTCTTTTTGAGATCATTTCTTTCTCTCTTTTCGTGAAATTCACGTGAATGAAATGAATCTATTAGCAATCTTTTCTTGATGTACTTTGCGCTTGAAAAGAGGAAACACACGATTTCTAGCGCACTGAACTCTTCAATGAGAAAAGCTATGTGATTGTGAAGAGCCTGACGACAGAAAGGGCTCGTTTAAGAAGCTCAAGAAGCTCTAAGAAGCTTTAAGAAGCTTTAAGAAGCTTTAGGAAGCTCAAGAAGCTCTTTTAAAGCTCATGCTCACCATTTAAAGCTCACCAATGTGAATTCCAGGTGAATTCATCAGAATTTATGAAAAGATAAAGCATTTTCCTCACTAAATTGACCGTTTTTCTTCAATCCGTTGTGCCAGATCGCTTACGTTTGCGTATTTCAATCAGCTTGCAGCTTTCATTCAAAAAGCCTTCAAAAAACGTTTAGAATGCGATTTCTGAATCAGTTTTATCTCAAAAAAACGTTAGAGAACTAAATCTAATATATTTGACCATTTCACTTAAAAAATAGAAATTCCAGCTTGAAAAGATTGGCGAGGAGTCGAACCCGGATGGTACGTGGCTGTAGACGAGCCTACTACCGACTGCGCCATGGGGGCTCCGAGGAAACCGGAAAAAAAGCCTTTATAACTCGCTCTGGCAGTGTCGGAAGGCCGGGAGCGACTTTTTGTGGCTTTTTTTTCTAGCTTCCTCGTTGTCTTCATAGTGCAGTGGTTAGAACGCTTTTCTACCAACCACAAGGTCCGGGTTCGATCCCCCATGCTGCCATTCAATCTTGATTTTTTGATTTTAAATGGCAGAACTTTTTCACGATGACTCAAAATCTAGCTTCGTTTGTCTATTTCATTCAGCTTTTATTCTAGAGTGCTTAAAAACGTTTAGAATGGTTTCTGAATGAGTTTTCTAAAGAAAAAACGTTATTTATCGCGTCCTATATTTAGAGATTTATGATTATCTAAACGATTTTCGCAAAAACAACAGAATAAATGCCTCTAAAAGTTCGCTTTGCATGCGTCATCGCCATTTCTGTTCGTTCTTTCACGTGTTCCGCTTTTTTGATAGCAATATTTAGATAAAAAAAAAGTTCACAATTACTCTATTTCCAACTTTTGAAAGGTTGGAGATCAGAGAATAATTGGAAAAAAAAAACGCGAAAGCTTTTATCACTTCAAGAAAATTGGCGCTCTTTTCTCAATTTTCTTACCAATTTTTGAGAAATCACAAGGGATTTTCGAAATTTCATTACTTCCGCTCAGCTTTTTCAATGAGTTTACCGTAGTTTATTTGAAGTTTAGAAATTTTGGGTGAATTCGGAAGGATTTCGGGGTAAAATAATGGCATTAAGGGAAGTGCTTTGTGTGTTCTTTTGTCGTCGTCCGTGTCGTCCAAAAAAATCGGCTTCTGGCAACTTGGGTAATTAAACCGGCTGCCTGGGGTTTCCGAAAGGGTTTACCCAGGCCCGGGTGCCAGAAACCGATTTTTCCAACGAGTGACGTCAAGGGTACGCACACTTGGGTAATTAAACCGGCCAAGAGGGCT